TGGCTTGGCCGCCGAGTTTACCCCGGACACCCACATCCCTTGCCACGCCTTTAACTTCCCCAGCAAATTCACCCAACCCATCCATCATGCTATTGATAGTCTCTTTCAGAGTCAAGATCTCACCCTGGGCGTGGACTTCGATTTTGGTACTAAGATCGCCCCGCGCGATGGCCTGAGTGACGTTGGATATTTGCCTGACTTGCAGAGTTAGGTTTTGGGCCATGGTATTGACGTTATCGGTCAAATCACGCCAGCGACCTTCGACGTTTTCGACTTGCGCTTGTCCACCTAGCGTGCCGTCCGTTCCTACTTCACGCGCGACTCGGCTGACCTCGAACGCGAACTGATTCAGCCGGTCAACCATAGCATTTATCGTAAGCTTGAGATCCAAAATCTCGCCCTTCACGTCCGCGGTCACTTTCTTCGTAAGATCACCACGTGCAACGGCCGTCGTCACATCGGCAATTTCGCGGACCTGCTGCGTAAGATTCGATGCCATACGATTGACGTTGTCCGTAAGGTTCTTCCAGGTACCCTCAACACCGTGCACAACAGCTTGGCCGCCGAGTACGCCATCTGAGCCGACCTCGCGGGCAACACGGCTAACCTCGAATGCAAATTCCCGTAGCTGATCGACCATCGAATTGATGATATTCTTCAACAACAAAATCTCACCCTTACAATCCGCCTGCACCTTGCGCTGCAAATCACCCTTAGCGACGGCAGTCGTGACGGTGGTGATATCGCGGACCTGCGTGGTCAGATTGTTGGCCATGGCATTCACGTTGACGGTTAATTCATGCCAAATTCCCTGAATTCCCTCGATCTTCGCCTGTCCACCCAATACACCCTCCGTGCCGACCTCCCTGGCCACCTTGGACACCTCTTGACTGAAAACCTGCAACTGATCCATCATGGTATTGATCGTTTGCTTGAAGGTAGCGATGTCAGGTGACATCTCGAGGGGGTGCATGCGGGCCCGTTGTGAAAGATCTCCATGGGCAACCTGAGTGATGATCTCGCCGATCTCCCGCAGTTCTTTCTGAAATGCCTCATTGATGTGGATGTGTTTGAGGAGTTCCTTCCGAAGGTTTGAGCGTTCGTGTTCAATTTCCGCGATGAAAGAATGCGACTCGCGGCGGTAGATGAGTTCGTCGACGATGAGAGAGATAAATTCACGGGGAACGGAGACTTCTGGGCTCTGTTGGTGCTGGAGAGCTGCTCGTGCTTGCATGAGATCTGCATCGCTCACCAGGGCTTGCCGGGCGGTATCTACCATAGCAGCCATTGGGCGGCAGTCACGGTCTATTGTCGATTGAAATTGGCTCAGGGATTTTTAGGTCGTGCAGTGACTCTAGAGACAAGTTAACAATAGACCGGGGTATGAGAGATATTGTCATGACCGTACGTATTGTGACCGGCGACGGAAGTGCCAACGCGATGTGTTCCCCGCAAGCACCGTATGCATTCCCGATAGCCAAAATATTCCACAATGATAGCGAACTTCAGAAAGCTAATGCAAGTTAGGTGCAAAGATGCAAGGAAATGTAGGACCGGAATGCCGGAATGATCTGGTCACACGGGAAGGAAAGGGACTAGAAATAAGCGGAGTAAAGAGCCGTAGAGAGAAAAGTGAAGAGAGGAAAGAAAAGTAGAGGGAGGTTATTTGCCGTTCCCACCCGCCTATATATTGGAGCTTGCGCAAGATTAATCCAGTGCCTACATTTATGTACGGGGTACGAAGTAGGGTACATATTATTTATCCCTGTTAAGGTCCAAATATGATTGTATATGCCATTTCTCCAGTGTCTAAAGTTGTATTCGTCATTCGAGTCTAGACCCGCGCTCGATAGCTTAACCCGCACAAATAGCCGAGGCGAGTGGCCAATCGGTTTTGTTCTAATCTATAGGTGAGCATATGGAATGTTTGTATGGAGTATGGAGTACCCCATGGAGTACCTTTTACCGAGATCATTTCGATACATCTACCGAGTTCTCCGTATATTGGAACTCTATAAAGAGGGGTCATTGTTGATCCACAATCTAAAGTAAACTGACAGTTCTGGGGAAATCCTCAGGAACTTAACCCGCACAATCTAAAATTTCAAATAAAAGACGTAATTCAGTAGGCTGTATCAGATAGGACTTCATTGGAATACATGATATAGTACAGTGGAACATTTTTTTTGTCAAGTCCCAGGTAGAGAGAGGAGAGGAGAGAAAGATCAGAACAAGTCCAAAAGAATACAGGTATGGAAAGAAACGTGGGGGAAAAAAAGATAAACACCAAATAGGGACACAAAGAAAAGACATTACACAAATATCCGTATATCAGAACAGGCTACGATGCAAAGAGGAGCGCTCGAGGTAATTCTTCAGGGGGAGGAGCTTAGAGGCTTTAGAACATGCCGCCGCCCATGCCACCCATACCGCCCATACCGCCCATACCACCAGCAGGAGGGGCAGGGCCCTTCTCCTCGGGAGCATCGACAATGGCGACCTCAGTAGTACCGAGGAGGGAGGCGACACCACTGGCGTCAACCAGAGCAGTGCGGACAACCTTGAGGGGATCGACGATACCGGCGGCGATCATGTCGACGTACTGGCTAGTGGCACTGTCGTATCCGCGGTTGAAGTCCTTGGCGTACTCGTCGGTCAGCTTGCCGACAATGACGGAGCCCTCGAGACCGGCGTTCTCAACAATGGTGCGGGCAGGGCGGCAGATGGCGCTCTTGACGATGCTGACACCGAGCTGCTGATCGAAGTTGGCGGGCTTAACACCACCAAGACCGTTGGCGGAGGCCTTGAGCAGAGCGGTACCACCACCGGGGAGGATACCCTCCTCAACGGCAGCGCGGGTGGCGTTGAGGGCGTCCACAACACGGTCCTTCTTCTCACCGACCTCAACCTCGGAGGAACCACCGACCTTGATGACGGCGACACCACCGGAGAGCTTGGCGAGACGCTCCTGGAGCTTCTCCTTCTCGTACTCGGAGGTAGTGGGGTCAGCCATGACACCGCGGATCTGCTCGCAGCGCTGGGTGATGTTGTCCTTGCTACCCTCGCCGTTGAGGATAATGGTGTCCTCCTTGGTGATGGTGATGGCGCCAGTGGAGCCGAGCATCTCGGGGGTGAGCTTCTCGAGCTTGATGTCGAGCTCGTCAGTGAAGACAGTACCGTTGGTGAGAACAGCGAGATCACCAAGGATGCTCTTACGGTTGTCACCGAAGCCGGGGGCCTTGACGGCGGCGACCTGGAGCTGACCACGGAGCTTGTTCAGAATGCAGACGGCGAGAGCCTCACCCTCGATGTCCTCGGCAATGATGACGAGAGGGCGACGGAGGGTGGTGGAGGCCTCAAGGGCGGGGAGAATGTCCTGGACGGCGGAGATCTTCTTCTCAGAGAGCAGGATCAGGGGCTTCTCGAACTCGACCTTCTGGGACTTGGGGTCGGTGATGAAGTAGGGGGAGGTGTAGCCACGGTCGAAGCGCATACCCTCAGTAACCTCGAGCTCATCATCCAGGGTCTTACCCTCCTTGACGGTAATGACACCCTCCTTGCCAACACGCTCCATGGCGGTGGAGATGAGCTTGCCGACGTGGGTGTCGCCGTTGGCGGAGATAGTGGCGACCTGGGCGATCTCCTCGCCGGTGGTGATGGGGCGAGAGTTGGCCTGGAGGTACTCAACAGCGGCCTCAACGGCAGCCTGGATACCACGGCGCAGATCCATGGGGTTGCAGCCGGCGGCAACGTTCTTGACGGTCTCGGAGAAGATGGCGCGGGAGAGGACAGTGGCGGTAGTGGTACCGTCACCAGCAACCTCGTTGGTCTTGGAAGCAACATCCTGGATGAGGCGGGCACCGAGGTTCTCGAACTTGTCCTGAAGCTGGATGGCACGAGCGACACTCACACCGTCTGGGGAATGATTAGTCTTTTTGCGAATCACCATCTGTTTGTCTGGATGGGAATCTTACCCTTGGTGATCTTGGGGGAACCGTAAGGGGAATCGATGAGAACATTGCGACCCTTGGGGCCGAGTGTAGAAGTGACAGCCTTAGCAAGAGTGTCAACACCCTTAAGAAGACTGGCACGGGCTTCGACGCCGAACTTGATCTCCTAGTTGCTGTTAGCAAGGGGAACGATTGAGCGCCTCGGAATCGGCGGAACACCAGGGTAATGGAAGAGCAAGATGATGCTGCAGGTAATTGCCAATCCAACGCACCTTGTGAGCAAAACGCTGCTGCTGGAGGTTCAAAGTCGAGCGACCGAAAGGGGCACGCTTGGAAGCGGCCGAGAGGACGGAGGATCGGGTAGAGAGAGCGCGCTGCATGGCTAGGAACAACGAGATTAAAAGAATTAAAAGAAGAGAGGTAATACAACAATCCAGGAGAAATAAAGGGATTGGAGGTGGGAAAAAGAAAGAGATGGAGAAAGCTGGGGGGAGAGATGAAGCCAAAGTCTCGAAAATTTTCCAGGCGCTTCCTTCATCCCCAGAGCTTGGCGGCAGAAACAGCTAGAACCGTCACGTGAGCCGGAAGAGCGGAGTTAAATCGGCTGTCGAAATATTGCAGATCTGACTAGTATACTCCGTTGCAGTCAGGGTATTCCTTTTTTATCATATATTCTTGTTGAGAAAAAAAAGTTACATTTCAATCAGGAGAATTTATATATACATATACATATATATATTCTTGGTTTGGTGTTAGGCATGGTGCTTGGTATGTCGCCGGGTATACTGCCTCGGTTAGTGCCGTGCCGGGGTATGGAGTTGGGCATGGGGGTACGGGGGTACTCGACACACAAGGAGCCTATTTCATTGGTGATTTTATTGATCAACGTGATTTCAGGACAGAGCTCAATTAATATCACAAAGCGATATGAATGCACGCATTCTCTTGACCATCATATTTTATGCAGTTTGGAGTTTAAAGCCTTATTCAAAATCTATATCCTCATAAAACTTGATGGTGCTATAACTAGGTAGTCTCTGTATAGTAAGCCTACAAACTGGTGGCCCAGTTCACCAAAAGAGCCGGGGGCTGCCTGACCTCTGGGAACGTCGTTTCCCTGGCCGACATTACTTGGAAAATATTTTCCTCCTCGCTATTTCGGGACATTATTTCCATCCCAAAAGGCCTTCCATTGTAAGTAGAGAAGCCGAGGGGGACACTTCCGATGGGATAGCCTGCACCCGCCGCAATACTAGGAAGCAGTGTTCCCCCGGATGCCATGATAACATCCGCATTGGATTCCTTCAAATACAGATCGACAGCATGCCTAACACTCTGTCGAAGGTGCGCCAATCCACTGTGATATTTCTCATTGGTCATGTTATCGTTCAGGCCATTTCCAACACTTGCTGGCTGGGTTGGGCTGTACCATTGTATGAAGTGAGTATTTGAAGAATATGAACTTTGAATGCGCCCATTCCTAGACCATGTCAATTTCATCATGCCGAGCGAATATATGTCTCGCTATCTGACCACACACCAAGAGAATTGACCTCCCAATCATGATACATCCAGCCTCTCGAAGAAGTGTCGCAATAGGGGCATCTTCAGTAGCGTTAAGTCCTTTCAAGGCCAATGATCCAGCCGTTGTATCCAGGCCAAAATTAGGGGCGTAAATCAGATCCCGAGTTATAGAAATTAAGCATCATGGTTTAAACCAAGACTTGAGTGTCGCTAAAATAGATCATCTCATCTCATCTCACCTTCACAATAATCGGGATCCCATGCAGCTTCGACCTAGGCCCCTTTCATATCCTTTCAGTATCCAACATCCTCGCTTCTTTGAGGGCGATCTGCAGACGCAGTCGAGATCATTGCATTCAGCATGAAGCCCTGTTTATTATTTCTGGCAATCCGGTCCAAGTATAAACCCACCAGCTCCACACTGGAGACCTCTCCCGATTCCAGTAGATTACGCACGTCGCCGTAAGCACGTCGATAGTATGCTTGCGTGTCATTTTGCAGAATACTGTGCCTTGGCCGAATAATGAGAATCTTAAGGACATTTAGAGCATGAAAGCAACAATAACGGCAATGCAGAAAGTCCGAAATTTTATGACAGGGTTGTTTTCACGGTCCACTCCTTGAGAGCCGCCTCTGATCTAAGAAGGGAGAGAAGCGGGAGACAGTGATGGCTCGGCGTGGTCGATTTGATTGCGTGTTTGCTTCTTCCGACAACGCCCCTGCCCCTGGTGATGTACGTACCCGCCATTATTGGCTAGCCCAATGCCATAGGCCTGTCGCAGTGGGCCTAAGCCTGATCGCATAAAAACGGCAGCTTAGAGAGGAAAGCCCTACCTACCAGGGAGAATTCTATACATATAACTAACTAGTCAGTTCTATATGTTATACATGTATATTCAAGCCAATATAGTTATGTACCTATTTATATTTTATTTGTCTTTAGGTACGGAGTAGATAGGTACGGTTTAAGTTATATATATATCTTCACTCTGTCATAAATTCAATCCTATCACCGTATATTAATATGTAGTTTGAGGCTCGAAGATTGACGCAAAAAACACACCTAAGTCTACATAGGGTAATGGTCACAATGCACGCTCCCTCTAAAAGCTCTTACAATCAAAGATCAATCCAGGGGAACTGCAATAATTCTCATATCACTTTATTCTGATCTCCCTATTGGATTACAGTACATTAGTGAGCATTCTCTCTATGACCTACAAAATACTTTTGAAAGAAAGATTTTTGCGACATGCTCTTATTAAAGCAACTAACTATTGGGCCCCCGTAGGGGGCCAACGAGCAACGCATGAAAGAGGCGCTGGGGTGCACCTCCGGATAAGACGTGACTCCATATCACGCAAGATCAATTATCCGGAGGTGCACCCGTTGACTGGGGGAGATGCTCACCCATCTCCCCAAATCAACCAGCGGCAAAAGCAAAAAACAAAGAAAAGCAAACGCAGAGCAAAGTTAAAAAAAAAAGCAGAAAAAGCAAAGAAAAAGCAAAGAAAAGCATTTAGAAGCACTGGGGAAAACTGTGGAATAGCATCAGCGGAACCAGGAATCATGACGAACCAGGAAATTAAAATTCCTTGACGTCCTCACCCTCATACCCAAGGTAGCGTGGTGGCTCAACTTCTGGAAGCTTATCAAAAAGTTCACTGTCGGAAAGGAACTGGTTTTCAAAGCCACTGTTCTCCAGGTAGCCGGTCATAGGGAAAGTACCTTGACCGCTATACTGACCTGCATATTGGATTTCGGGAGCCATGTCAAACCGCGAATAAGCCGCAGTGGGCATTTGATCCAAACCAGACACTCCCGCCAAGACAGGGCTTGGAGCGGCACGGGGAACATCCTCAGAAGTTGCGGGGGGAAACCGGTTGACATAGTCAAATGGGCTTGGCCCACTTGAGGGGAATTGGATGGAAGATCCACGGGTTGAGAACGGGGGTGGTGTCTCAGGAGAGAAATCGGAAAAAGAGTTAGGAGGCATGAAAGGGTAGAAAGAGGGACGAGCGGGTGCCATGTTGGTCACCTCGCGCGGTGGGTTGGTTGGAGTCACAGGCTCCCAGGAAGTTGCAGAGTCACGAAGTTTGGTGTCAAGAATAGCCATGCGCACAGGATCCAAGTGGAGTTTCACCATCTTGGACTTCTTGTTGGTCTGAGACTTCTTGGCGGCTTGAGTAGTAGACTCGCTGCTTTCAGTTGATTTCTCGTTCTCCTCAGAGGTAGTCTTTTCCTCGGAAGTAGTTGATTCGTCGTCATTCGCACGATCATCGCGTTCGGTGAAGTCACGAAGCCATTCTGCTCCGACACAGACGAGCTTCTGGGAGTCATCGCTGTCGGTTTCCTCGCGCTTGGTACGCAGCTTGGGAGCAACAAAGACCTTGTCCTTCTTGTTCTTCTTGAACTGCTTCTTCTTGAGAGTGTACACACTGTCTTCGGAATCCTCATCAGATGGATTACGGTGACGGCGCCTTCCATTGCGAGTGCATGGCGCAGCGTCATCCTTTGCAGCAGGCAGCACTTCTTTCTTGCAGCTTGTGTCGTTCTTGTGATAACCATTTCCTGCACGCTTCAGTGGAGGCGGGTTGGGCTTATCCTGCTCCTCTCGTTTGGTGCGGAGCTTCGACAAATGCTGGACGATTGCACCCTCCGTGAACTTCGATCCCATGGTTTCTGCGACCTCCTTCCAAGGAATCTTGACTGCGACCTTATTGCAGGCATACTGGATGGCCAATAGAAGTCGAATATCGGTGTCCACTGTTTCAGTCAATTGTCAGTATAATTCAATGGCACGTTTTCCACATGGATGCAAGTCAGTGTGACAGCAGTCCATCCATCCATGGATATCCTGGATATTGCTGGATTTCACAACACCCCCATGAACTCCCTCAATGAAATTATGAAACAAGATTGAGAATAAAAGGGAAATAGGAAAAGAAAAGACCACATACCATCCCAGCGAACGAGTGTACGTTGGCGCCGACTGCTGATTTGCCGCTTGCCCTGACTCTCTTCTTCCTTGCGGGCGGCTTCTTCCTTCTTGCGGGCAGCCTCTTCCTCCTTGCGAGCCTCTTCAGCCTTGCGGGCCTTTTCAGCCTTGTCCCGTTGGGCGATTTGCTTCCGGAGCTCTTCAAGCTCAGCAATGTCCGCCTCGTGGTCGCGCTTGCGGCCGCTGGCTTTCTTCTTCGTCGGCATGTTGGAGGGGCGCTCCCTTTGTATCCTTTGTGTGACAATATCATTAGCAATTGTGTTCATAACAAACAAAATCAACCCAGGATGTTTGGATGGATGGGGCATGAGGCGGGTGACCAGACACGATCAATGTGTTCCGCATTGCTGCAAGACCCAGGATGTTTGGATGGATGGGGCATGAGGCGGGTGACCAGACACGATCAATGTGTTCCGCATTGCTGCAAGACTCTGAAACAGAAATGGGAAATGGTATTCGCCAATGCCTTTTCAACAGATAGGAGATGCATTGCAACAAACTATCGTGATGGACCAAGGTCAAGGAGCATACAATATCCGCAATGTGGAATCGCTTTGAAGTATGCAGTTGGCTGAAGTTTCACACCGGTCGCTGTCCAAACAAGGTATGTTTAGACAAAATATAGATAGCAACAAGGCTAACCATGAGTACAGGATCTTAGGGCATTGCCCCAAGAAGCTGTTGAGATTGCCCATGCCCGCAGGAATTGGTGTCCATGCTCCAATAATGTATGGTGCAATGTTGACATCCAGGACCATGAAAGGCATCAAACCATCATTGGTCTGATGTGAGGACCCCGCATCGCAAGGTTCTCAGCATGATGGGCTTATGCCACAGTTTCCAAGAAGCCATGCAATTGGTATGAGCCTAGCAGATGTTGGACGTTGATATGCAGACCCAATCCTCGACAAGGTTCACTAGGTGCCACAGCAACCCAGATACCCCAAGCGTTGAATGGAAGTGCGGGGTCCCAACGATCAACAGTGTGCCACAGGACCTTTTGCTGGTGATGTACAGATACAGGAGCCTCATGGTGGGGAGTGGGGATGTTCCAGGGGAACCTATGAACCATCGCCAGCGCAAAACTGGGTTACTCACCTGGTGGGTACGATAAAAAGGCACTGTCGATTCGAGATGGTTTGGTACCAAAGCACAGAGAGATGGTGAATGGTGTGGATGATGAAAGATGGATGGAGGTTGATGAGACTGAAAGGTAAGTAAGAGAAGTGGTGACCGAAGGAAGTGGCAGGGGATGGCAAATCTCCCTGAGCAACAGGCCGCGTTGAATGCTTTTTCGAATCTGCGTTGGAGTGCTTGTCTGATACTTGCTTTCGAAGTCGACCTTACGTATTGTATGCAGATGGTTGACGGAGATCGGACGAATGTATACCCCGCACTACGAACAGGCAGATTCGATCTTTCCTTGTGCACAGCAAACCCTGCTGGTTGGAAACTACGTTTCTGTTTACATGTGCTGACAACGCATCTGATCTAGCAATCGAGGCAGCTGGAGATGCATTCGGGTTGCAAATCTTGTATCTGATACGGCGGCGATACGCGTTATGCTGCTATTGTTACGAACGAACTATATACCTTCGCCGCAACGCTTCCACGCCCCACCAGCCTCGAAAAAAGAAATGAAACTCACGGAATGCAATTATTGACATGCCAATGGCACATACCAATTGCAATTGTACTAATTCAACTGGTGCAGCTGCAGAGCGTAGGGTGTCACATTGTATGGTGTTCCTTGTATAAGGGGTGTTGTCAAAGATGACGAACGATCTATATAACTTCCCGGCGGCGCTTGTGCACTCCACCCACCTCAAAATAACGAATCAAACCCACGGAATGCGGTTACAGGTGACCGAACGGCCCATAGAGACTACAATCTAATCAATTGGCCATTGTGTGGCCAATGGAGATGGTGTGTCGCGTTGCGTAGTGTTCATTGTATTAGGGTGCTATCAAATTTGACGAACAATCTACAAGACTTCGCGGCGATGCTTGGACACCCCGCCAAGCTTGAAGAGACAAATAAAACCTAAAGGATACAATGAAGAAGGATCCAATAGCACATATCAATTGAAACTTCATGAATTAAAAGTCGTGGGTATGGAGAGCATGGTGTGTCGCGTTGTATACTGTTCCTCGCATAAGGAAGGGATGTGGTCAAAATAGACGCCGGTCACGTGAATGCATACGCATTATGCGCTTATCAATCTATGCCGGATCAACATTTATCCTCGGCCGAACCTTCTTCCTATGTCACATGACATCCAGGCACCGAACATTCAAACCGAGCAAATCCACACCGCTGTAGTAATCACCGCCTTCCCAACATAGATTCCTCTACACGTGATCCTGACATCCCGATCCTCCGAAGTCGAACGCTTCCAAACTCACCCGAACCGTTTTCACCCCTTCAATCGAACCATACCTCCCACATTCTCTTCAAAATGACTGCTGCCTGGAAAGCCGCCGGTTTGACGTACGAATTTACGAATTGTCTTTAAAGTCAATGCTAACCTCGACCCCAGCTACAACCGCTACCTGGCCATCGCCGCCCGCACGGTGCGCCGTTCCTTGAAGGATGGCCCTCGCCTCGCCGCTGAGCGCCGCGGCCAGATGGACCTCCGTTTTGCCAAGTGGGAGGTTAGTGAACTTCCCGAGCTCTGTGCTGCAGAATTTTGACTGATGACAATGTTACGCCCAACAGAACGGCAAGCAGGGTGAGGTCAAGTCCCTTGCCCAGGCCAACAACGAGGCCCTCGCCAAGGCTGCTGAGAAATAAGCCTTCTTCACCCATCACCTGAGAGAATTGAGCTTGGAGATATGCAGGGCCCGAGTGTGACGGACTGGAGCGAGTTTTTGGTCCGGGGGAGGCATTGAAATGTACATGTGTAGCAATACCGGCCTGTCTGGTTGGGCAGAGCTTAGAAATCGCACTCGTCTTTGTTTTCACACCACACTTAAGCTGTTAATTAAAACTGCCGTAAGAATTCTTATACTGCCCGGGCGTGGCTGGTCAGATGTTGCACGTCACCTCTAGGTCCCGGTTGCCAACTTCCCGACTCGCTTTTTCCTCCGCTCACATCCCCGCCTCCCCCTCGATTCGTCGATTTCTCAAAACACATCCGACGGCACGATACTTGTTTGACCACCTGTAATAAAAACAGCACAGTGGGAAGACCTTGCGATTCTTCGTGATGCTGCCGAATAATGAAGTTCGCGTTCCCCGTCCGCGGTTTGCGCAGTCCGCACCCCGCGACATTACCGCTGAATTTACAAAGGCCGCTTCCAGTAAGCATATTGCCCCAGAAGCTTGGATCAAGTGTCTAACTATTTTTTTTCCTTGCAGAACTAAATACCGGGCAGCTCGTGAAAGATGAGACGTTCACCCTGTTCGAGGCTGTGGGCGCATTGGAGGTGCGTCAGCTTCCTCACCCGATGTGAAACGTGCAACGAGAATTGCAGCTGACAACGATCGAACCCGCACAGATTATGGACTCGAAGATGGATAGCGGCTACATAGCCCCCGGAGAAAATCTTGCGCAGGCGCTAGAAGACGACTACGACGTACGGCGGCCGTTGACACCAGAGGAAGTTGTTGGCTTGATGGACCAGTTGCTGTGCCACGAGGTGGGAGATAATATCGCCTATATGGAGACATGCAGGTTGCTGATTTAATTGCAGGTGGCGTGGCATAAGGGACATCCTCTATCGCAGACGCTCTTCACGTCAATCTATCTCGATAAATTATTGTGGCCGGTGCCGAGGACCATGGACGACGCTCGTTTTGACCGTGTACCAAGTGATTCTTCTTTGGTCAACCTCGTCTTGAGAGCATATTGTCTGGCACTGGTCAAAGCTTGTGATTTTGTACATCTCCGAGTGGCGACTGAATATTATTATGAGGTTAGTGGGATGGCCCCCGAACTCCCTAGGTAGTACTTTGACTGTCGCTAATACCATCCGCCAACTAGGAAGAGGATTTTGTCAGCCAATTATACAACCGCAATCTTCTGTCTGCCTTCGATATATCCCACTTCCACCGTCTGCTAGACCAGGCGGTTTCTTGGGTTGCGGAACAGACCGATATTGACCAGAAGCTGAAAGATGCCATCCATTGCAGACTAGTGTTTCGGCATGAGTTTTTGTCCGCACTGCAACAGGACGTTGAAGTTCTTGAAACCAGATCTGCGGAAAACTTCACCTCATGTATAGCTCAACTTCAACCGCTGACAGAGACAGTCGCACTAGGAAAGCCTGTGCCAGATGCCTTCAGTTTGAAGATTCAGCGCAAGCTGGCTAGCACAGTGCCGCCCCGTCCGATGGTTAATATTACCTCCGACGATGCGCTAGCACATCTGAAACGACTGTGCCAAGATGCGATAGACATGCAGCAGATGCTTGATTACACTGGCCCCAGCAATTTCAAGGTATGTACTCTTGAACTCGAGTCTACTTTTAGTTCTAACTTGTATTATAGACTGCTATATGGACTTTGCTTTCTCGAAAACCACAACCGTCAATTTATATTCGTTGCCTTCTCCAAGCATTGATTGTCAGCAACATGACGATCCTCGGTGCCGTACCAGTCAAGCAGTTTTTATACGATGAACTCGCGGAACTCGTCTTACCTGCCAATATTTTACTCGAGTCTAACACTGATGAAGTAGAGGTGCCGTCGGATCCTCGGTTCCAGATTGCCCAGAAGATGGATGGTTTCATAAAGCGATTCGCTCAGGTTAGGGGACATATAGATCATGACGCGTCTCAATTGCTAACTTTCACAGCCGTTTGTTGATACTGTGCGATGTGCCTGTTTGAACAGGTGTCGGATGCGCCGAACGCTCTGCCATACCCTCATCGATTGGGACAATCTGCAGATGGAGGTCAGTCTTGCCCTATCTCTATTTACTATTTGAGTGTTTATGCTAATCCAACGCAGGCGGAAGAAATTGATCTCGAGCTCCGCACTTTAAGTGCGGAACCACCTCTGCAATTCCAAGGCGGCGAACCGACTTGGTCCTTCCCACTTAGTAGCTGGGCCTATCACCAAAAGCTCGTTCAGTTCCGACTAATTCTCCAGATGGGTTTTGAGCTGTCGATCTACTCCCCAGAAGAATTACCGGGCATGTACTGGTATTTGTCTCATATTTGTTCTACACATCTCGGCCACATTGATCGCATTCGCACGTTTACCGTGGCTGCACGAAAACGCGACTTGATGTCTACTGGCGACCGCTCTGGAAGCTCCTCTCAAAAGGCATCTGCATTCCACCGATCATTCCACGCTCTGGAGAGGTTGACCACACATATCATTGCGGTGGATGCCTTCGCCATCGCTCTACATGCGTTGTACGTGGTACTGGCCCGGCACAACGTGCTCCCGTCTGCCTCGTCTCCCCAGGCATATTCTACCGATCGACTCCGCTACGAAATCCGCATGAAGCCGTTCATCCCTATCACACTGCCAGAGTTGGTCCCATACGAGGAATACCAGCGCGAGGCAGGTCTCGAAGGTGATTCCGATGCTACCATTTTGGAGCGTGCCGCGAAGGCCATTACAGAAGCACGCAAGGCATGGGAAGCAACCCTTGCCAATGGGGCATTCATTGATGACCCGTCCGCACCAAACCAACCGCCACCTTCGGCCATTGAAGAGGATTGGAAGCGCGACGTGAAAAACACCATGCGTGCCTGCATTGGAACCAGCCTTGCTATCGAGGCAGCCAAGAAGGCTCTCTCCACAGCATCCCCTACTGAAGACAAATCTCTCAACTTGGAAGTGATTGTCCCTGAGGTCGGATCCAAGTCTCGTTGGCATGACTGGTGGGTGGTACCGCAGGTGTCTGAGAAGAAGTCCACGGTGTGAAAAATATGATATTTTATGACACAGAAGTATATATGTGTCTGAATTCCTTCAGCAACTACTGATGTATGAGTGATACCTTTTATGCTAGTTATAGAAATGATCATGACTTTATATGACCCAGGGCTCTCTGTGTAGATTATATAGAGCCAATTCGTGCTGTATGTTTGCATATACGTAATAAATATGTACACGGAGTATCGTTATACATGTCTACGTGTCTACAGTCATGTTGCATGAGTATTTGCACCCCAGTACTTCCGTCACTTCACCGCTATTCTATACCGCCTACCTATTCCTACTAGTATACTACGCGACTACGCGCAGCGCGCAGTATACTAGTATTATACAGGCTATTACCCCCTCTTCTTCCATTTTTTTTTACCTTTCTAACTCTTTCTCTATACTCTACTACTATGGCCCGTGGCCCAGAGCTTCCACCGCACGTTCGCGAGCGTATATGTGAGCTAAAACGCTCAGCAAAATGGGGTGCTAAACGTATTCAAAAGCACGCGTACCCTCATATCCCTCTTTCAACTATTCATTACACCTTACGCCAGGAAACAAAGCGCTCCCATGGTATCTCAATGCCTCGCCTTGGTGGTCCAAGGAAGCTTACTGAAGAGGACCGAGATCGTGTGTATGATGCTATTCAGTCCCGTCCTGATATTACGCGTGAGGATCTACTTGCTGAGGTCGATTATAAGGTTAAAGCGCACTCAATCTGGCGTTTAACCCACGAAATGGGCCTTCGAAAATGGCGGAAGATGAATCGACCCTATCTTACGCCTATTCACGCTGCAAAACGTCTTAATTGGGCCCTTACCTATCGCCACTTTACACCTGAGGACTGGAAAAGGGTCTTTTGGTCGGATGAGACTACAGTTGAACGTGGACAAGGTGCTCGGAAGGAGTGGACTTTTATTCCTCCTAAAGATCAGCTTCAAAATCGGAATTCCGGTATTCAAATGACACTCTCGAAAGGGAAGCAGTCAAAACAGATGTTTTGGGCCTGTTTCTCAGGTGCTCCACGGAAAACTGGCCTTATTCCTCTATACGGAGATCCAAATGCAGAGCGGAAGGGTATTACAAAAGAGGTTATTTATAGTCTCTACCGTGGTATCCTTCCTACCTTACTTGCAAATGAAGATGCTATCTTCCAACATGATAACGCACCTACACACACTGCGTATATAGTTCAAGAACTACTACGCGAGATAGGTGTAAATGTTATGGATTGGCCTCCTTATTCACCTGATTTAAACCCGATTGAGAACCTCTGGGCGTTATTAAAGGCAGATATCTTAAGGCTAAGGCCTTGGTTACGAGAGATGCCTAATAATCAGGAGACCTGGGCCGAGCTAGTAGATGCAGCGCAGTATGCATGGGAGAATCTGACAGTGCACCACTTTGTAAATTTAGCAGAGACTATGCCGCACCGGGTGGAAGAGGTTATTAAATACGAAGGTTGGCATACTAGTTACTAGCTAGTTAGTTAGGTGTTTCTAAATGAGAAGTTTTAAACGGCAGAAAATAAGTGGGGCCTAAGCCTTCCGAGGTACTGGGGTGCAAATACTCATGCAACGCCACTGTACATATATATTAGTCTTCAATAGGTCAATCACAAGTGTATATAAAAAAAAATACAAAAACAAAAAAAACAAAGGGTCGATCAAATCCACCCAAGTCCACCTAAACCCACCAAATCAGGAATCAGGAATCAGGAATCAGGGCGTCCATCACATAGGCGAACGGGAACATCCGTTATGAAATCATCTGCCACTGGACAACTTCACAATTTACAACTCGTTTTTTTCCCACTTTAACCTTCCAAAGGTTATTCTAATCAATACCAAATACCTTGGCATCCTGTTTAGGACAGAAGCTTAAGCCTTTTTCCGACTCGTCACATCTTA